ACGTGTATTGATGCCACTCTTCTTACCGGATTTTTTTCTAATACAATTAATACCGACGGTAATAACCCACGTAAACGAGAGTTCTTTGAGGCCCTCAATAATTTGTAAGTGTGTGAAAGTGTATTGAGGCCCCAAACCTCGAGAGTCATTGACACAGAGTCTGCAGGGAGACCACACGGCCGGCAAAGCCGGTGATCCTAGCGGGAAATGGGCAAGGCCGTGGGGAGCAGTCACGGGGGCCCTGGGGGCCCCCCGGCCTGAGCAGGTGCTGACAGTCGGCCATCAGAAGGGGCAAACGAGCCTGTCAGCTCTCGGGTGGCAGAGCCAGACGCTGGCCTGGGCCCGCGGCCCGCCAGGCCGCGCTGGGAAGTCTCCAGAGGACACTGCCGTGCGTGTGGGAGGGGACAGAGGCGGCAGAAGTCACCAGAGAGGAAGACGGGGCAAGGATGGGGCACACCCAGCAAGGCAGGTGCCTGTGGGAGGAAAAGGGCTGAGCAAGTATTAGAAGCAATCTGCATTCTGCAGGAGCTCATGCAGAGGACTGGAAGAGTTCTGCAGGGGCAGGGAACGGCCCCGAAAGGGCGTCCATGGGTCAGTAAAGATGGAGGCAGGTGAAGCCGGGCTCTGTGACCAACCAAACGCTCATCCCCAGCCCCCAGAGTCGAATCCCTGGGTCCCTCCTGAGTCCTGTGAGCACCTACGCCCCGGAAGGAACTGCTGTCCTGAGTCTGGGGTTCCCCTACACACACACTTGAACTTTAAGGCCTGTGTCCACCCCCCGATGCTGTGCAGGCTTTAAAGGGGAAGTTTAAAAGCTCTGGGGAACAGTCTCACCTCCCTGTCGCTCCCCGCCAAGCTGCAGACCGGACAGGTGCCAGAGCACGTGTGAGGACAGGCTGACCAGGTAACAAACAGGGACCTCCCGCCACGGCCTGTGGGCAGCACAGTGCAAGCTGCCCCACTGCCCCTCAGGCCTTCAGGTGACACAGCCCAAGCCTTGGGACAGAGCCAGAGCCACCCAGCCCAGCCACCCTCACAGTCTTTCACTTAAATTGTGGTAAAATAGCTGTAACATAACAGGTACCCACTTAACCGTTTTTATCTGTGCAGCTCGGGCACTTAGCTCTTTCACACTGTTGTGTGACCATCACCATCCACCTCCAGGACTTGTCCATCTTCCCAAAGTGACACCCTGTCCCCATTAAACACAGCCCCCCAGCCCCTGCCCCCACCGTCCTACTGTCTCTCTCTGTGAATGGTGACCCTGGGGACCCCATGTGAGAGGAATCTCACAGGATGTGTCCCTCTGTGTCTGGCTTACTTCACTGAGCATCACGTCCCCGAGGTCCGTTCATGTCGTGTGTGTCAGAACTGTCTCCCTTTCTGAGGCTGAACAACGTTCCTTCATACAGAACACATTCCTGCACCCAGTCCCAACATGTGCGGCTTTTTCCCCAAACCACCAAGCACTCCTCCACCACCACCAGCTGGAGGTCAGACAATTCAACTCACTTCTCCTTCTGACTCTCTCCA